TCTATATCTTGGCTCTTATAAACAATGTTGCAATGAATATATGGATGCATGTCTTTTAAAATTAGTGTTTTGGGTTTCTTTGAATAAACACCCAAAAGTGGAATTGCTGGGCCCTCCTTTTTTTCTAGTCATAGCCATTCCTCAAAAATTTTGCCTGGTGGAAATATTGCTACCCCTGCTTTTTTGTTTGTTTCTATTTTCATGAAGTATCTTTTTAATCCATTGATCTTTTTATTATTTACTTTACTTTCCACTGAAGTGAGTCTCTTATAGACAGCATATTTATGGGTCTCGTTTTCTTATCCATTCAGTCACCCTATGTCTTTTGAATGAACCATGTAATCTATTTGCATATAATGCAATTGTTGATAGATACGTATTTATTGCCGCTTTATTATTCATATTTTTATGTTTTTTACTTCTTCTTCCTAAAAAAGTTCTTTTAACATTTCTTATAAAACTGGTTTGATAGTAATGTACTTTTGTCTGGTAAGGTCTTTGTCTGTCCTTAACTTCTAAATAATAGCTTTGCTGCATAGAGTAGTTTTGGTTGTAGGCCCTTACTTTTCATCACTTAGAATATTTTGCACCAATCTCTTCTGGCCTGAAAAATTTCTGTTGAGAAATTGGCTGACAGTCTTAGGGGGCTCCCTTGCAGGTAACCAACTGCTCTTTCTCTTGCTGCTTTTAAGATTCTCTCTTTTTCTTTAAACTTTTGCATTTAAATTATAATGTGTCTTGGTGTGGGCCTCTTTAGGTTCATGTTGTTCGGGACTCTGCACTTCTGTGTGTGTCTATTTCACTAGGTTAAGAACGTTCTCTGTTATTCAAATACATTTTCAATTCCTCTCTTTCTCCTCCATCTGGCACCACCATAATGCCAATGCTGGTATGCTTGAAGTTGTCCCAGAGACCCCTTAAACTACCTCAACTTTTTTGGATTTTTTTTGTGGGGGGGTGTTCTAAGTGTCTGTTTTCCACTACCTTATCTTCCAAAATTCTTCTTTGATCCTCTGTTTCATCTGTTGATTCCCTCTAGTGTATTCTGACTGGTTCTTTTTTCTGTTTCCTATATCCATTTTTATATTTCCTATATCTTACTTCTCACCGAGTTGATCTATTCTTCCCTTAGGTTCACTGAGCATCCTTATAACCAGTGCTTTAAACACTGCATCTGGTAGATTACTTGTCTCCCTTTTGTTCAGTTCTTTCTCTGGACATGGTTTTTGTCCCCTCATTTGGCTGATTGTTTTATTTATTTATAGAGAAGGAAAGGAGAAAGAGAAGGAGAGAAACATCAGTGTGTGGTTGCCTCTCAAGGGCCCCCTACTGGGGACCTGGCCTGCAACCCAAGCATGTGCCCTGACTGGGAATTGAACCAGCGACCCTTTGATTCGCAGACCGGCACTCAATCCACTGAGCCACACCAACCAGGGCTATTCCTAGCTATTAACTAGAGCTGCTATATCTCCCAGTCTTGGTAGAGTGGCCTTATGTAGTAGATGTCTAATGGAGCCCAATAGCATAGCCTCCTGATTTATGTGCACCCTCCTGTTGTAGCTGAGCCTTGATTGCTGCAGGCATGTCAAATGGAAGGGATTGACCCTCAGGTCAATTGGCTACAAGGGCCGGCCACAACTACAGCAGTGGAGCTGCTGTATACTGGCCAACCCCATGGAGCAGAGGTCACTTCAGTGGGGCTCTGATACCCACCCACCAACTCTACCCCTTGAGTGTGTTGCTCATAGTGGTGGTTGGGAGGTGCTGTGGTGTGTATGAAGCTTTACACTGGGTGTGCTGGCTCCAGAGCCTCCTGGGAAGTGCAGGCCAAGGTCAGGGGCCACCAGCCTGGGGCCACCAGCATGAGACGCAAAGTGATATGCAGATGGTTGCTACTTGGACTGAGCTTGGAAGTGCCTAGGAGAGGCCAACTTGCACACAGAGCCTGGCTGCCACTAGTGGTTGGCTTGGGACCATTTAGCAAGAGGTACAGGGTTCACTGAGGCCAGATGCTGATTGTTTGGTGTTTGTGAACCTTCGAGAGATTTTAGGAAAGTTCACAGCATGGGCCAAGAAAGGCTATTTGTATGGAATGGCCACTGGAAGCAGCTTGGGTGGGTCTGAAAGTTGGTTGGGGTGGAATCTCAGGGAATCACCGAGGTGGGATAAACAGTGTTAGCCAGGTTGATGGAGACTCAGATGTGACCCCCACCTATGCATATAGGGAGGGCTCAGCAAAGTAACAACAGCTTCTGCCAGCACTTCTTTATGGGAGAAAGCTGCCCCTCCAGCCCTAACTCTGGAGCCAGAAAATTCAGTTCCTCCTCATATATCCCTGGTGCTTTTCAAGCTGCTGCCCCAGCACTGGAGCTCAGAACAAGTGAGTTTGTCAGCAAATAAGCCCATTCACAAGCCCTTTAAGAAGAATTCCTAGAACTCCAGAAGCCATCTGTCTCACTGAGCCATAATCACCACCGGTTTTCACAGCCAGAAGTTAAGACTCTTTCAGCACAGGAACCCTGGGATGGGGAGCCTCATGTGGGGCTGGAAGCCCTTGCTCCTCAGGGAGAACCTCCACAGCTGAGATGGCCCTCCCAATTTTTAACCACCACATATGGATGTGGGGCCTGCTTATTTTGCATCTCCACCTCACCCACCAATCTCAACATGGCTTTTTCTATGTATCCTTAATTACAGGACTTCTGTTCAACTAGACTTCAGGCAACTCCCAGTGGAGGTGTTCCATAGTTTAGCTGTAACTTTGATGTTATCATGGGAGGATGTGAGTGCCTCATTTACCTTCTCCGCCATCTTGACCAGAGGCCACCAAAAATATAGAGGTATATGTCAACTATACTGACATATACCACCTCAGATTTCATTTTTTCTACAGAAAAATCAAATCATTAACTTTGGCCTGTTAAACAGGACAGCAACTATGCATTATTCCTATTGGAACCATGTTGCAAGGGTAAGTTTAATATCAAGTAGTGTATTCATTTCTTTCTGCTGGAGGACAAATCCAAATACAAGCACCCTGCAAGTCAACTTAGGGGGGCAAAAAAACACTTAGAAAAATTGAGTGGGAAATCATACAATATGCCAGAATTCTAGTTGCTAAAACAAAGCTGCAGGGTAATAATAACCAGAGCAGCTCTGCCAGTAAGGAGAGTTTTACCTTGCTAGGAACATTCAAGGTGTTCTAATGGTAACGTTAGTGGTGTGCTGGTAAATGTTTCACAATGGGCTCTTGTGGGCGGTGGGGGGCGAACCGTATTTTGTAGTAGTTGCACTTTTCCTGGTGTAAATACACCAATGAAGGTTGATTTCAAGTTACCTAGGCATATCACTGAATGGGAAATTAAGAGAGTCACAATAGTAAGCAATTATATAGTGTTTCAGATACAATAGATATAAATAACTTCAACAGCATAAATTACAGTAAATGTAGTGAAACAACTAGACCATGGTGATTTTGAGTATTATTTTTAACCTAGTTAATTTAATTATACGTTTATATAATTTAATTTTCAATAACGGTTGCATCTACCAACTGGTGCCCAAAACTGGTGAAAATTTAAAGGTGAGCTCTAATGAGCAGGTACCCTTCGCTCCAGCACACCACTGCAGGTTGCTCTTCTGAGACGTTAGATGTTTGAATAAAGCTACTAAATCATCTGGATCAATCTATCTCCATTTTCCAAGGGTACCAATCTCTTTGCTACTCCCCTTTAGATATACTGAAAGCTCAGTCTACACCGTGCACAGTATTTACAGGAATACCATTAAACGACAATATCTTACATTTGTATCAAGCACCGCACTTTTCAAAGTCATCCTTTATGGAAGGATGGGACAATCTGATCCTGCATAATAAATTTAAATCGGTAAGTAATAGTATTTTAGTGCGTAGTGGATGAAGAGTTCTGGGAGCTGTTTGTCCAGCAGCAAAATTAGGGAACGAAACCGGGAGCAACGCAAGGAAGCTCAAAGACTAGTCAGCTGAGGGAGCGCGCGGCGGGTGGCTGTGCGGGACGGTCGCGGGGGGCGGGGGGGCGGGGACTCGCGTTGCCCTGGAAACCACGCTGCGCGGCGGTGGTGTGAGCCGAGATTCCAGGTTCCCGCCCGGAAATGGCTCCAACACTGTGCAAGGTGTACAGAGAGCTCTCCCCCCGCTCTCCTGTTTTCTGACTCTAACTTTTAGAGATTGACAAGAACTCATTGTTTCTGATGGGGGCAGGGGGCGGAGTTCGGAGGGGATATGCTCTAAGAGTCTTTCCAAAAAGCTAAAATTATTAGAGCCATAGCATTGAAATATTCTCCTCCTATCTGACAGGACAGCTTTGCAATGTTTCTCACTCGATCCCAATGTTACTGTAGCAGCCACTTGTGCACAGATTCCATATAGATTTTACTGCTGAAATTAACACCAGCAGTAGTCGTGGCCGAGTGGTTAAGGCGATGGACTAGAAATCCATTGGGGTCTCCCCGCGCAGGTTCGAATCCTGCCGACTACGGGAAGCCAAGCTTTTGCTAACAAGACTTGTTTTCGTTTTAGAGAGGTCTTGATTTTTCCGCAGATAATTTAAGGATTTTATGAACAGCTGGAATACCACACAGACCCCAGTGGGCCCAGAAAAGGAGTAAATGAAAGAGCTCGGTAATTGTGTGATTGTAGTGACAACCTGAGCCCAGGAGAGGGAGATGGGGCCGAAACGTGCCAGACAACCTGGACGAGTAAAAGCAAGCAGTCGCGAGGTCGCGTAGGAAGGGACAGTTCTGACCGACCGCCCCGCGCGGAGCCCTGCGCCGCCAGACCTCGCGCCAGGCCTCACGGACCCACAGCTTGCTTCTGCGCCAGCATGTCAACGCCAAAACCTCACAGACACCCGGACTGCCTCGGGACGACGCGCGCATGCGTACGGGTGGGCTCGGCTGAGGGTGCGCGCGGCAAGTCCTCGCGTTGCCCCTGGAAACCACCCGGCGCTACCGCGATGAGAGTGGGGAAAGACGTAGCCATTCAAGATGGCGAAGGACTTGGACAAGCTCTTGGATGAGGTTGAGTCCAAGTTTTGCAGACCAGACCCACTGAGACTGGGCACGGTTGAGCAGCCCAAAGGCTGCGGCGGCGGCGGCACTCTCAGCGACGACCGGAACCGAGCCGAGGCGAAAGAGAATCTCAGGTTAACAGACGGGAGGGGTGGGCCCTTCTGGTAAAACTTGCTCCAAGCCCTAAACCTGCTCCTCCAGCTCTTCCTGTTAGGGCCCAGATTCTCAGTTCCCTGCCCTTGAGTGCGCATCCGAACTCCACCTCCTTGAGGCTTCTGGCATCTCTTATCAAGGCCGGACTCCGCCCCCTTTGCTGGCCCGAGAGCTGGCCCCGCCTCTGGGAGCTCCCGGCCTCACCCACAGCACAGGGAGTCCTAATGGAGGTGGGGCGAGGGGGCGCCGCAGAGGTTCCCTCTTCGCGTGCCCCGATGGTGGGTCTCATCCCCTGATGAGGTGCCTGCACTGAGAACCTCAGCCTATTACTTTTGACCATTCCCCGAGCAGAGTAATCCTTGGACCAACTGTTGGAAAAAATCGTTCCATTCTGTTGTCATTAGCTGATTTTTGTTCTTTAGCTCGGAGAATTTAGGGAAATTTCTTAAGTCTTTTGGGGTTTGATCCGAAAAACTACCTTTCTAATTTGTCAGTCTTTTTTCTTCCGTGTAATCATAAAATAAGAGAACTTCCTTCTTCGCCCCATTTCCCCACTCAATCCCAAAAACAAAATTTTGTGTCAGAATCAAAATTGTCCTTCAAAGTGATGACCTGAGAGCCTCTGCAGTAACTCTTGCTAGAATCTGTTGGAAACGCTTGTGGAATTACACAGGTTTGGAACAACCCACGAAAGGCATTTTTGTTCATTTATGGCTGCATCTGTGGTTTTTGCTTTGGTAAGCGTGTGTGTGAGTTTCCAGAAGTATACTCAACTTCGTTGTCACCGAATTTACCAGACTTACTTCTAAGGACATTTATTTGTTTAAAAAAAAATTCACCCTCAGAAGATAAATACATTGAAAAGTTTCTGAACTTCAAAAACAAGTTCTAAAAATTAGTTGAATGCTGGACAGCATTATGAAAAGATAAATGTGGGGCGAACTAAAAGGACTACTTTGAATGGGTTAACGCTCATTGGATTGGATGTTTATGCAAATATCACTAATTAATTTGTATATTATTATCTTGAATGCTGGACATCTTTATGTACCCACTTCCAGCACATCTGTCATTCCTATCTCACAGTAATGTTACCTTGTGATTTCTTTTATTCTTTTTATTCGTTGCTTTAGGGAATGGAGAGAATTTACCGAAGCGCATTCCAGAACCTGTTGGTCTTAGGAAAACTAGCATGCAGAGGACTAGGGTGTTTTGCATCAGGCTGCTTAAGATGGAAAGGGCTGCTAAGACAGGTGGTCTCCAAACACAGGTCCTTTTATGCCTCTTACTGTGGCCTGTTACTGTCCTACTAAAATCCATCCATAATGCCTCTAGCACCCCATCCCACCTTATTACATCAGATTACTCAGTAATAAACATTTATAGAAGCTGTAGCAAACCAGTACTGTTGTAACGTGTTAAAACTTTTCATATAGCAATAGTTATAAAGGTAAATTATGCAACAACATCAAAGGCGCTAAACCTAATACCAAATACATCCCTACCTGGTATATAACGTCAAACATTAAGATTTTGTCCTGAGCCAAAATTGATATTTAAAAGTTAGGAACCCATTTATATTATGGATTTATTGACAGGAGACTACCTGTCGACTATATAGTTATGTAGCCTGTATCTTTTCCTTATAAGAGTTAAAATACAGAAATTGTCTCCTATAATGATAGCTCTGCAAATAATTAAATAAATAACCATGCTACAGCTGGGTACCAGGAACAACTGCTAATAATGTAATTGTTTAAAACATATACAATTTTTTAAGTGTTCAAAATGATAAAAGATATATATGATTAGTTTTTAAAAGACTGATGCAGGTTAAACTGCAATAGTAATAAAGTAGTTCAGGACAATACCAATGGGAATATTTACAGGTAATATACCCTCCTAGATAATAGCTATAATAATAGCCAATATTTATTGAGTCCTTTGAATGCTGAGTGCTTTATATATTTCATTTAACTTCCACAACCATATGAGGTGAATACTATCATCCTCATTTCATTGATCAAGCCAAGACTTAGAAATAAGAGTTACTTGCCCAAGGTCGTATTTTCAATTCTACCAGTACATTATAGATCAAGATTTAAGCTTTCATGTATACCTTTCACATTTAATTCTGGGTTTTAAGTGTTCATATTTTTTATTTAGAATATACCTTTTATTTTTGGCTGAAACTATCTTAAATCAAAATGAAACTAAGAAGCAAAGTTACCAGGGAAAACAATAAATATTTATTAGACTTCAATTAAGATTATTGTAGCATCAAAGGATAAAAATATATTACACTGTCCTTTAAAATGTGTATAAGTTCTCAATGAAACAATGGCATATTTTTCATTTCTGTAGCAAAGCTAGACAAATGTAGGTATCATGAAATTGTATGATCTAATAATAAACCAGAATCTTATGTAAACAGTGTGGGTCCCTAACAGTACTGATTAATTTGGTAGAATGTGACTGCATCTGATTCTTGAAATGGTGAAATTGCATGAGAGAGCAGAACCCAGAGAGTATATCATAAAAACCAAAGAAGGAGAGAATTTCAAGAGGACACATTAGGGGACCTGCTATCATGCAATTAAAGAAACTGAAAGAATTGATACCCAACAAAGTCAGGTACTTCTTCTAAAAGTTTAAAAAGGATTGGAACTAAGAAAGGCCATTGAATATAGTGATTTGGGCAGTAGTGACCAAATCATTGTTTCACTATAGTTGAGGAATGTAGAGGCCAGAGATAGAATTATTATACCTGAAAGAAGTTTTAAATAGTTGTCTAGATCTCCTTTGAAGGTCAGATAGATAAAATAATTTAAGCTAGGTTAGTAATTCTCAACCAGTGATGATTTTACCACTTAAGAGGCATTTTGTAAGTCTTGATGTTTTTCATTGTCACAACTGGGGAAGGGCGTGCTATTGACATCTAGTGGGTAGAAGTCAGGGACGCTGTAAAACTTCATAAAATGCACAACAGGAACCCCTGCACTCACGCCAAAGAATTATCTGGCCCTAAATGTCAGTAGTTCAAGGTTGAGAAACCCTCATCCAGGTCACCAGCTGATGCTAAATCCAATATACTTGTAAGGAAGTAGAAATAATGGATATGAACTGCTCTTCAATAGTAAGAGAGGGTGGCACCATGGCCAGAGTGGCTCAGTTGGTTGGAGCTTCATTCCCTAACCGAAAGGTTGCAGGTTCAATTCCTGGTCAGGGCAAATACCTAGGTTGCGGGTTTGATCCCCAGTCCCTGGTGTGGTCTGGGAGCATACAGGAGGCATTGATGTTTCTCTCCCTTCTCTCTAAAAGCAATGAAAAAAATGTCCTTAGGTGAGGATTTAAAAAGGAGACAGAGGATGCAGTGTCAAAAGGGGTTTTTTTGGACTCTTTGAAGAGCAAAGTCTTAAGCCTACCAATGAGTCAAGGGAAGAAGCCAGTACAGGGTGGCAGACATTAAGGATAAAAGTTACAGAGGGAACAAGTGACGAGGCAAAGCCCGAAAATACGTAGAATCAGGCATTCACTATTAGGCAGCAGCCTTTGGACTTCTTACTTCAGATTAATTATCTTATTGCAGGCAATAACAAAGAAGGGCTACAGTCCTAATATTAACAATTTTTCAGAGTAAATACATTTCTAAAATTGAGATTCAGCTAAAAAACCTGTCTTCTAAAATATTCTTATGGTCCAATGAATTTAAGAAGTTGATGTACAGCACCTGTAACATATATACTCTCTAAAGAGAGTTAACCTTGCTTAGTGTTGGGTGTAGAGACTGCCCTACATTCATTTCCAAGCTCCACTATTCTTACGATCTTGCATGAGTTCCTGAATCTCTCAGTCCCTGTTTCTTCATTTATATAGTAAGTATTCAGTGAATGTTAGCTGTTGAAATTTCATGCAGTAACAGTTTGTATCAATACTCCTGTGATGGCTCTACATGCGGAGTTGAAAGGTAGTTGAAATACTTTCTGCCAAAAAAATAGTGTTTTTGTTTGTTTGTTTGTTTGTTTTGGCTCCTCTACAGAAAAGATGTATCTGACTTACAATGAAACCCTTGGGGAAAAAATTGGAAAGACTGATTAAAATTATCTTTGTTTATAATTCTCAGGTTCTCCTTATAATTGTATGTATTTTGTGTACCTTAAATATAAGTGATACAAAATATAAGTGATCGATGTTTAAAAACTACATGCCCAGCTTTTTTTTTAATATAATGTATAGCTTTAAATGTTGTATGTTAAATATATAAATTTGTAACTGACAACCAGCATTTTTGTCTCAACAAACTTAAGCTCTGTCCATAGCAGGAAAAAATTAATTAATATCACATTTATGCTTCTGTTATCATCTCTAATAATAGACTTTATTTAAATAAAACTCTTATGTACTTGGCTGACTATATATGCTCTTAAGCCTCAGCTGTTTTGTTTTGTTTTTTAGATCAACGGAAACATTTAAAAAAGAAGATGATCTTGACAGTCTCATTAATGAAATATTTGAAGAGCCCAACTTTGATAAAAAATCCTTTGTAAGTCAAGTGTTAGAAATATACAGTGATTTTTTTATTATTTAAGACATGTTTAGAATAATCTGAAAACTTACAGAATGCACAAATATTTATAGTCCTTTCCCTTCTGAGAAATACTATCATCTAAATAAATTATTCCACTGAGAGTAATAGAATAAATAAAATATTAGAAACTCTCAGTATATGTTTTGCTGTTTGTCTCTCAGCAGGAATGTGAAATTAGAAAAGCTATTAGAACATCAACTCATAGTTGAAATTGGTTACCTGTATTTATTTGTAGACTCTATAAAACACTTCTGAAAGACTGAAAACAAATGTACAAATGTGCTTAGCATCTCAAATGGAATGTCATTGCTATTATCTTATGACTTATGAGTAAATTATTAATATATTACATATTTAAATGCTCATGTATCTACATCAACTTTATGAAAAGCTCATAAGATAATATAATGGCCACCTACATACTGCTCATGCTGAACATATATTAATGTTTTTCCATATTTGCTTTTCTTTATTTTTTAAATAAAAATTATGTAGTTTAAGGACTCTCCAAATCCTACTCTACTGCCTTCCTCCCAGAGGTAACCACTACCCTTTCCATCCATACTCTTATTACATAGGTAGGTAACCATAAACAATTTCCGTTGATGTACAATAGCTTGTTATGTAATTCTACCACAATTTATCCACTTCCCTGGTGATGGACATTTAAATTATGTCCAGTTGTTGCTCTTACAAACAATGCCTCATCAGCTATCTTTGCATTCTTTTTTTTGACCATATACGGGGGTTTCTCTAGGATGTATAAACCTTGAAGAGGAATTGCTAGGTTATAAGGTGTGCTCATTTTCAGCTTTTTTGCCCATTGCCAAAGTGTTTTTCAAAGTTCTATATCATCTATATTCTTCTTACCAGCAGAGTATGAGAATGTATATACTTTAGTTTTTAAAGAAAGAGACAGAATGAAAGCCTAAATTACAAGGACCACAAAGAAAAAGTTCCAAGAAATAAGTATAACAGCAAAGAGGTTTTTGAAAAGGCAGGGAACAGTAAAACAAGACAGAGCACTGGAAATCACCTGGCAGTGGTGGTGGTAAGGATATGGATATGGGCCACTTACATTTTTGTCAACCAGATGAAAAATAAATTGACTAGTGTAGATCTTAAGATCTTTATTTCTCTAAATTTAACATTTTCAGTTCATCCAAGGTATTAATAGGCTGATGGCCTAGCTGGTTAATATGTCAACCCAACAGCAATGGTATTGAATACTCTGCGAACAAGAATGCATCATAAATGCCAAATAACAATGCTAATTTATTAATAGTAGGGAAAAAAAACTACATGATATTCTTGTTGTGATCCATTGATCACCTGAGCAATTCATTATTAAGTACTTACACTGTGCTTGACTGTATGTGAGGCACTATTTCTTCAGTTCAGGGCATTTCAGAAGCAGAGGGAAATACTTTTCTGGCTTGGCTTTAAGATATACAAATTTGAAATAAAAGTAACTGTTACAGTCATGAGGAAATAAACTTCTATGTACTTCTTCTGTGTGCTCCTTAATTAAGTTATTATATCCAGCTTTCCAGCCTGCAAGGGAGAAAGCAACCCAAATAAACTTCTGAAGGAGAGCAGTTCTATGTAAAACATTGATTGGATGAGGAAAAGAGGGGCTGAGCGGGCAGCCCATGCCCACGCTGTCCCCAGGGGCCAGATCGCGCTCCTCAGGGTGCTGCTCCTTCCCCCACTGCCCGCCCATTCTGTTGTGTTTCTGAGCTAGTCTCAGACCCACACAGAAAAGCCCAGAAACAACAGTAAACATGACAGTGTGCCAGCTTCAAGGCACAAGCGTGAGCCTGGATGGTACATGAAACACATTTCAAAAATACAGACTCATGCACATTATTATTTTTGAGACATGCACCCAAATTTTTTCCAGTTCTGTTTAACATCAAATAAGAGTTGAGAAATAGTAAAATGAAATATTTTTGCCGCCATTAAATTTCCTCACCTACTAGGTAAAATGAAGGCTTGTCTCTGCACAATTTAAATTGCCTTTTCTCCATCTCACTTCCTCTCCTTGGCGGTGGTCCTAGTATGTAAGTTGGTTTATGTTGTTTGGTACCATATACCAGTTAACACTTAATAAATGCCTGCTAATGATGATGATGTTATGTAACCATATAGGAACTACTGTATGCTTGTGACTAGGTAGCTCTACATTTTTCTCAAATACCTATTAGTTGATACCTTTCCAATTGATCTAAATTAATATTCTTGAAGTTACCCAGGAGTTTGGTTAGTTTATTTTTAGTTCAGGTGAGTACCATTCACAGCCTTTAAAAATGAGTCTGAGGATTTTTTCCTCCTCAATTGAATTTTTCCAGGATGAGGTTTTAAATAGAAGGTCCTTCGTATTAAATCATTGAACTCTAGTATTAATTGAAGAGTTATAAAGTGACTCTAAATCTTAGCATGCTAATAATGGCAATATATCAATTTCCTAGGCCAGAAGTTAGCAGAGTAATTTGCAAATTCCTCAGGGAAGTCTACTTCCCTTTTGCCTTTAAAAAAAAAGGTTTTGATCATTGTTTTTATTTCAGGAAGTTTAAAATGATATAGATTTTTTTATTTAAGTCATTTAAAAAACATTCCTGTTATAAAATAAAGAATATTAGTTTTCATGTTACAGTTATCTAAAGTTACTCTTGGCCTTTTATTGTTTTGTTTTTTTAACAGAAATTAAAATCTAAATCTTCAGGTAACACATCTGTCAGAGCTTCCATTCAAGGCCTTGGTAAAAGGTAAGTCAAGATGGCTTTGGTAAATTGTACACACTAGTAAGCAAACACTATGAGCATAGACTAGTAGATTTTATTACCATTTAAACACAGGGACGTTAAACAACAAAGCACTGATTGGCTTTCAGGAGAAAGACCAATAGCAGTATCTTCAGTGCTCTTATAGTCTGTGGCCCCTTAGTATAGAGGAACTCGAATGAGGGATTATTGCTATTATAAATAATTTTCTGCCATGTGAAAAAAAAAAGTGTGAACAGTTTCTCAAAATTAATGTTCTGTTATATTCTTCAGTATTTACTTTGTCCCTTACATTATTTGGCAAATACATTTTTCTGTGACTCATTTTAACTCCTTGAGTGTTCCTGAATATACAGGTTATATCCAATAAAGCAGTGATCCTGGAATAAATATACCTCTTCTTTAGAACAGTGGACTTGGTCAGGAAAATATACAATTTGATTAGAAGACTATAGAGTCAACAAGGTCAAATTAACTTCTCCTTTTTCTTCCTTGCTGTGATTTTCTTTTTCTCCTGCCTGTTGACCTTGTCTAGTTGCAGCCCCGTGTACCTAGGTGGAAGCACTGCTCCATGCGGTGTTGGAACAACAACTTCACAGAGGTAGGGTGTCAGAAATATACTTTCTTACTAGGTTTTCCAAATTGATACGCTGTTGTTAAAGCATAGTTCTTATCTTGGCATCAGTCTGTTTCATAATGAGTAGTATATTTTACTAGCCAATCCAAGAGTACTTTACTGAAATCTTTGTTACTCTTGGGCAATAGCTGCTGAAAGCGTTGGTGTTGAATTTGTGTTGTTCATTGTGTTGATGCCTTTTTCTGAGCCCCACTTGAAGTGCCCAGATCACTCTAGCTCCAGCTTGATTTCCACAGGACATGAGAAGCGTGAGCTTCTTTGCCGTTGTTTCCTTCTGGGCAGCGGAAGCCCGTTGGTAAGACAGGGATGAAGCAATGCGGCCATTCAGCTGCATGAGGTGTTAACCCTGAGTTGGCCAAACAATCAGCATGAGAAGCTGCAGGTCTGCAGTACCCTAAAAGTTCTCATAGTCACTTGATTTTACATATTTAAAAAGCAGAAACCCTCCTTTCTTTTTATCTCTTCCCCCACCCTTCTTACACTCACTGTCTCCCTCAGTACGCCTTTCGGGGCATTCTAATGGTCATGATGCCACCTAAACCAACCCCTTATCAGCCTCACTCCTAGCACATTCCATTTCCATTGCCGTAATATGGGGAGACAGATTGGTTTTAAGCAAATCTTTCTCTTGTCCTCATACTTTTGGTTTTATCTTTGCAGAGGCCTACTTACCTAGATTATTACATTTTTGTCTAGTTAAAACACTTTATTTTCTGTTAATTTTTTAAGAAAGAAAAGACTTAAGATATGTGATTGCATGTTGACCACATTTCAGGAGGGATAACTGTTATATTGAATAGTAGAACTGAGATCTAAAAATACATTGTTGGAGCATTGTGGTGGTACTGGAATGAAGGGCTCTAAGACCAAAGGGAGTCTGGGGGAGTCTGTACCAGAAACCAGGCAGTAGGCAGGCGAATAGCAGTCTGCTGGGGTGCTGCCCGCTATACAGGTTTTAAATAAGAATTGAGAGCACTGGAATCACCATGCAGTGAGGACTGTCTATATAAAGAATTAGAGGTGCAGACTGCCCTTAGGGAAGAATATAGTTTGGTTGCTATCAGTCCTGACTTATCTGTCAACTCAGTGGGACTCATCTTAGTCATTTCCATTTCCAAGCCAATAATTATTATATTTCAGCAGCAGGAATCCTATATTCTGCTATTACCTTTCCATTCTAACTCAGGAAATATGTATCAGGGTTTACGTACAGGTGTCTTCTGATTTTAAAGATGGTCTTTAAGACAATATATTTTGTTTTTCTTCCCAAGAGTAAATATTTCATTAAGATTTTCTTTTATATAGTATTTTTATAGGTCCTTTGATTTAGTTCTATCACAGATGAGTCTGTTCCAGATAGAATTTCAGTAGACAAAAGAATGGCCTGTTCTTATGTAGCTTGAGGATCCTATCACATAATATTGATCCACAAAAATGGCAAAACCCATCAAACGCCATCCCTAACTTCTTCACAGCTGCAAGAGCAGAAAACATATACGATTTGTATATATATACACAGGTAAATATTTATATTCACAGATCTTTTCTTCCTCACCTGTTACAAAGATACAATCACCCTTTTCATGACACAGATCTGCACCCACAGGAAAAGCAAGCACATACTTGTTCATGTGCATGTAAAACATTTTATGAGTGAAGAATGTATACTGTCCAGTGCACTTTTTTATAGATATGTATTGGTTCACCTGCTACACAGGAAAAAAAAACAAGATGTAGATAGAGCAAGAATTTTTAACCCTATTTTATAAATGAGGCAATTGAGGCACTTGTATTATGCTCATCAAACGTGTATTAATTAACCACCTGCTTGCTTGGTCCTAGGTTTTGGGTGAACACTTCGTAGTGTACAATAAATGAGCACTTCCCTGCGCTCAGTGAGCTTTCAGTCTAGATGAGGAGAGAGACTTTAAACAAATAATCTCACAAATAAGTATTTAATTTTCAGATAACATGTAATGCAGAGGGAGAGTACACAATACTATAAGCATAGATAATTGACACCCCACCTAATGTGAAGGGTTAGAAAATGCTTCCCTAAACAAGTGACACTGAATCAGAGTATTATATGAAAAATCAGTAGGAGTTAAGCAAAACAAGGCGACCGTTGGAGCCAGAGGGCACGCCATGTTGAGTGAGCCATGAGCTGGGAAGGAGCGTTGGAGGAGCAGAGAGCAGCCAGGGGAGCTGGGGCATAGTGAGTAGGGGACAGAATGGCTGCTGATGGGGCTGGAGAGGTAGTTGAGGGACACTTGGTCCGCGGTCCTGTAGTCCTTTAGAAGATTTTAGCAAAAGTTTTGTCATATATGCAGTGGAAACCATTGGTAGGTGGTTGGTTGATTGGTTGGTTTTTAACAGATGGAGTCACCTAATCATGCTGTGTTTCTAAAGAAAGTTATTTTGGCTACTGAATAGCACATGGATTGGAAGCTGGAGAGGCAGGACAGGAAGCGGACCCAGGGAGACCAGTCAGCAGACAGTAGTTACCGTGGTCCAGGAAAGATACAATAGTGCTGGCTGTGATCTGAGTGGTGGCAGTGGCTGTAGGGAAAAGGTGTCACATTTGAGCTACTGGGAATCTAGAATGGACAAAATTCAGTGAAATAAATGGCTAAGAGAGAACTTGTTAATAATTCCCAAGTAGTGTGCCTTGCCCAACGTCGCATGGAGTATTACAAAGCAAGGACTCACATGTGTAACTTGATTCCTGTTCCATTATGCTTTCTAGCAAACCAATTTGTTGAAGGCCATGTAATGTATGTAAGGAGAATCTTCGCTGTTTTTGCTGCTGCAGCTGCTGTTATTTCCCAGCTGTCCAGACATCAAGACTCTGTAATCTACTGTGTAGATCTGACAAGGTATAACTGAGAGTCACAGGGTCTGGACAGACTATGTTGGGCTATGTATGGGGCATTCCCATCGTAAACATTTTTAAACTGATAAAGATTCTGAACAAAGGGACAACACCAGCGGTGACATCTTTATATTCTATTCCCTCCACATTTAAGAGAAAGAAACCTGACAATTGATCTTTCATTGGAATCGTGACTTTATTCCAGATATGCTCCAGTTACACATAGTTATGGTAGAGAAATAATTTTAAGCCCTGAAAATAAGCACTGATTTACATGCCCAGGGCATAAATGAGGTTTAGTCTATTCTGCCTATTTTCCGTGTGTTTTATGTTTAATTTATGGGTAGAGTTCTGGTTGGAAGTAATACTCGATGACTTTAGAGTGTCGAGATTTGAGTCTTTGACCCAGTTGGTGGAAAGGAGAAAGAGAGGCAGCAGCAAGCATGGTGGCATTAATAAGGTATAGATAAAACCAAGGCCTTATTTTCAAGCCAAATCGAATTTTACTCCTAATTATTTTTAAACTACTTGCAAGACTGGATTATTCCATAGACTGGTACTAATTATGATCTAACAAAGTGAATTGTAACAGCAGAATGATTTCTTAGCTGCAAGTTAGTTTTATTTTTCTCAAAGGACAGTGTTTGTAGGAAAATGTAGTAGTGTGAATAGATTTGAATAAACTACTAAATTTTAAATTAAATTAAAAAGCTGTATTTAACATTATGGTTGAGATTTTACACATACAAAATGTCAGGAAATTCAAAATTATAGTTCCCACAACAGCAATAATTCAGCCAAATTGCACATATGTATTAAGGCATTAAAGTTAACACTCTGTGCAATCATGTAATAAACTACATATGCATAAGAAAGCAGGTTATGGCAGCTTTGGGAACCATCATTTTGCATTTCCTGACTTGTACATTCAAAATCCAAGTTTAAATGTGTACCAATATAATTGTGTTGAATTTCCACATGTACAAATACAACTTCATAAATTGCTAACAGTTTAAAAGAAAATATGGAATTGCTTGTGAAACTTGTATAAATTTTGCATGTTTAGTTATGATTAATTATAATTTTAGAAATAGAAAGCATTTATTCTCAAAGGAGTCTTTAGACCAAAATATTTGCAATTTTGAAGTTACCATATTTGAATTTTAAGGGAAATAAGAAAAATACTAATGATGGGTTTTATTTTATTATTTTTTAATTTCAGAAGGGTTATATCCTTATTGAAAAAAGTAAAAACACACTTGAAAGATGTATAAATACAGAGATAATAATTTCATTCCCTCTCCTCCATTCCTGAGACAACCATTGTGAGCTGCATAGTTTATTACCTTCCTCGTTTTTGTCCATGTTCCTACCCTATAAATACCTGTGTAGGAATTGTTTTGGTTGTTTTTACAAAAATTGGACCATGCTATATATGTTACTACGCACCTTGCTCTCAACATCCCTCTAGGTCAGTGGATAAATTAATTCTCTTTATCAGCTGCCTAATATTCTATAGTCTAAATATGCTGCATGTTATTCAGTCTTTTCCCTTTTTGGTCGGTATCTGAGCAGTATCTTGTTTTTTACCACTTCAGCAATACTGCAGTAGAAATTCTTGAGATATATGCATAGATTGGTGCTTTTATATATACAGTAGCTTCCCCAATATGGGATTGATAGTAAGTCCAACAGCGAGGGGTAATTTTAACTTTAAAATAGTCCCAAAGGTTAAAGCAGTTCACATATCCACCAGAAATGTCTGAGAGTGCTAACTTTTGCTAAATTAAATTGGTTAAAAATTTTGTTGTTGCTTTAAATTTTAATTATTTGTTATATTTTACCTTTTAACAACCACTGTGTGCCAGGCACTGATAGGAGCACTTTACCAATATTAACTCATTAGGGCCTCATACTAATTCTAAGAGATGTATGCGAATTCTTGGTATCCCATTTTACATACGGGGGAACTGAGTCCCCGAGGAGTTACTGGACTACAGTTATACAACTAGTAAATAGTGGAGTCAGTAGTTGAACCTAGGCGATCTGTGTTCTGAGTCTACATCCTTAACTATGATTCCATGATACCTGTTTTAGTGAGATTGATATATTTTTTAAGCTTTTTCTTTATTAGTCATTTGTTAACACTCTTTGTATAGTAGAAGTATTGGACTATGTGCTAAAATGTTTTCTTCCTCTCTATTTTTCACTTTGTCTCAGGTATCTTAAAAACTCGGTTTTGGGTATCTTAAAATTCTTATTTCCTTTTAATTTTTAAATAATCAAATATATCTATATTGATTTCTAGTTTTTTAAATACTTCAAACAATGGAGGTTTCTTTAAAGTTATTATACAAATCAAATTGTTTACAGCAGCAGTTCAAAATATCGTCATATATTATCATTTTACTTCTAAGGTTTCTTTTTAGTATATGAGTTTAAGAATTGCTTGGCATTTGAATTCCTTAGATATTCACTAAGTAACCATAATAGGCTAATTCTACTTAAAAGCATAATTTAGCAGTTCTACCCTTTTTCCTGCATCTATCGGCATTTTGTTCTTCACTACACCTTTGCCATCAACATACAAACATGTTTTATTTCTCTCTTCTTAAATAGAACATTCTCTTCACTTCACTTCCTTGGCCAGCCACCACTTCCATTTAAACTGCTCAGATACACCTTCTCTTTGTAGGTGTAGCTGAGGCCTTTGTAGACCTTTGTAGACCACTCTATTTAAAATTGCAACCTACAGCCTGGCCAGGGCGACGCGGTTGGAGTGTCATTCCCATAACCTAAAGGTTGTGGGTTCGATTCCTGGTCAGGGCACATGCCTGGGTTGCAGGTTCAGTCCCCAGTTCAGGCACATGTGAGAGACACCCAGTCAGTGCTTCTCTCTCACATCGATGTTTCTCTTTCTCCCTTCCTCTCTGTCTAAAAAAGCAATGAAAAAATGTCCTCAAGTGAGGATAAAAAATAAATAAAATTGCAATTCACTCTCTCCTAGTGCTCAATTTTATTTTCCCTATTCTACTTATTATTTCATTTGAAGCATTTTGTACCCTCTAACATTGAGATGAGTATTGTTTTCTCATTAGAATCTAAGCTCCATGAGAACAAAATCTCACTAGCACATAGCAGGCTTTCAGTAAATATAGGGTGAGACAAAAGTAAGTTTACAGTTGTTTGTATGAAAAATAATATAACAATAAATAATAATACAAGAATGAATTGTGTTTTGTGCACTCACAACTACAAACCTACTTTTGCCTCATCCTGTATTTTGTGAATAAGTGAGTAAATGCATTAATGCCAACTCCCGGGGAAACAGAAACAAATAAGAATATCCTATCACTTAAGTGGCTTATGAGGGAAGACAGATTCATTTCAAAATAATGTGGCAAATTCTGTGATAGAGGCATCCTTGAAAATTTCAATAGGAAAAGAAACAACTTAAAGAAGTTAGCTTAAGTGAAGATCTCCTCAGACACAATTTTAAAACCATTGACCTAAAAGATCTACACATCCATTTTGTTTCTTACATGTGTGCATGTATGTATCAGTGTATAAGGTCTTAGTAAAATAGGTTTGTGTAGAAATTTAACCTTGAAAAAAATAGAAATTTTATCTGAAAGTTTAGATATATAATCAGTCCTTTATAAACAGTTTAATCTTTACTTTTTGGTTGTTTACTGAATAATTTGTAATACGTGGTATATCATATAAATAAATCACAATATTTTTATATTTAAATGTGCCAATAATCTTTAATGTACAGTTTTTTTTCTCTGAACAGAGCATGTGACCATCTACGTTGTATAGCATGTGATTTCCGGGTAGAAAGCTATGATGATTATATGTGGGACAGATCATGCGATTATATGTTTTTCAGGTATGCTTCTAAAGAATTTCACTGTAAAAAATGTACCAAGTGTAACTTTACGTTTATTATTTTGCTATAATCTCTCTTGGTGGACTTAAGCAGATTATGTGGCCTCTCCTTCTTCAGTATTTCTCTCATCCATCTCCTTTTTTCCATCTGTTTGTTATCAGTCCAGGTAAGGACATGTTACTTCTGGACAAGTGTATAGAGCCTTCTCACTGACTTTTCTGCCTACAGCCTTTTCTTTCAGCCCACCTTTTCCTTGCTGAGAATGAAAGCATAAAAAGAGCATGCCATTCTCCTACACACAACCCTTCTGCTTACCAGAATCATGTCAAAATTCCTCAGGGTGGCACCCAGGACCCTCCACACTCCAGCCCCTGTCTATCATCCAGCTTTGTCTTTCCTTCACAAGATTTTAGTTACATCAAATTACCCAATACTTCCATTCCCCGTGACTTTGTGCAAGCTCTCCACTTTCCCATTTTATCCACCTCAACCCTGCCTCTCCCTCAGGGTACAATTCATTATACATCTTGCATGATTCCCCCACCATTCTCAACTTGGAAGTAAATTCATCCTTTCCTGTGTGTCCACAGCACTTTGTACCGATTATAGGACTCACTGTAATGCACGATGGAAAACCTTAGGTTGATGTATGTCTGCCTCCCTCCTTGTGGCCAAGACAATCTTACTCAGACTTTTGCAATTTTGTACATTTTGATACACTACTAAATAACTAATATTTTTAACATGTTATATAAGCTATAAAAAATAGACAAACTATAACCATATTTTTAAATAAAAATTTAGAGTTAAAAATTAATAAAGCATAGTCATGCATTTTTGGCTCCCCTATCCTGTACCTAGATCAGAACTATACTTTCAGATACAAGTAATCAGACTGTAACTGCAACACTGTCCAACAGCATAAAGAAAGGATGAGGCGTCCGCACCTCTTCGGGCACCCATTCTCATGGAAAGCCCTAGGAGGCTCTTCTAATTTAATAGTTTTTAAACTTTCTCGCATCAAGAACTGCTTTGCAAATCTTAGGAGAATTTTAAATCCTCTCCACACACACACACGTACACAAAATTAAAATGTATAAATAAATACATGGAAAAATTATAATTTAAGAGGCCTACTGCAATCACAAAATCCCAGGTCAGGTTAGCCTACTTTAATCCCATAGTTGGAAAAGGTAACTTTTAATTTCATGTCTGTTTTGCCTTTTCTGACTTTTCTAAATCCTCTGCTAGATCCTGTCTTCTGGTTAATCTAATGAGTGATTAATATGTCACCAAGATGAACCAACAATTTTTATAAAACTATTGATAGATTAATAGAATGCATGTACTATCTAAACTGGGGTGCGCATAGGCATTAAGTAAGCTTTCTGTTGATTTAGATGGTACTTAAGAAACTTGCAGTGTCTCAGAATTATTAAGAACATCAGTTGGTTTACTCTAGATCTGTGGCAGCCTGTTTTTGTGTATTTGTTTGTTAATGAGGAAAAGAAGCTTTGTTTTTTTCACGGGGTCAAGCACAGGCACAGCCGATCATTGTCAGGTGCAGGGGGTGGGAGAGTGTGAGACCTTGGACGTCGGACCGGAAGTCCCTCTGGAGAGCTCGGAGCCCTCCCTGGGAGCATCCCAGCTCAAACCAGGAAAGCGAGAACGGGGTGTCTGGGGAAGGCTGCATCCAGCTAGGGCTTTCCCGTGCCTCTTTGGGGCTCTGTTTAGCGTTAGATTCCAGGCCAGCAGCCACCCCCAGAACTGTGGTCACAGCCAGAGCCCCCGGACTGCAAACCACTGCCATTGTCACAGGAGTCAGAGCTCTGGTGCCAGCCCCGGGGGGGCTTTGGCGGCTCAGGCAGCAGCATCCCTCGGAGCCTGGGCCACAGCTCCCCCCAGAGCTAAGGGCGTAGCTGAATGGGGCTCGAGTGTGGCAGCCTGGCTTAAAAAAAAAAAGTGCTTTTAGATAAAACAATGAGAACTAGAAGACTTATTATACTGTTAAAAATAAATGCTATTTATTATTTGTCTTTCTGTAATATACTAAATACAATATTTTTTAAAGCAAATAACAAGTAATTATTATTTATATCAGCAGAAATTACTGTCTCAGCCTTCAAAATACTTAGAAATACTTGGGAGGTAAGAGAATGGAGCAAATAAGGAAAAAGTCTGTCACCATCATCAGAATATAAATCATTGATATGATATTTTTATTTTGTAGAGCTTATTAGTGTTTCTTTATCAAAGAGACATTATTCAACATCTGGTCTGTGGCATTCTTAGGTAGTGGGCTCACAAGATAAATATCACCCAGTTTCTACTCTCAAGTAATGCACTTTTGATCAGGGAGCAACATCATATTATAACATCGTGTGATAAATGTGACAGTAGAGGTTGAAAGACAGTATCACAAGATAAGGTGAATATACTTTATCCTGAGGTATCAGGGAAGACTTCAGAGTCTTGAAGAATAATCAGGAGTCTGCCTAGCCAATAAGATGGGCAGGGTATTTTAAAGACACAGCTGGAACCACATAGCATGTTTGAGAACTTTCAAGTAGTTTGGACTGTGGAAAAATAGATACAAGAACAGGAGATAGCAAGAGGTGAATGAAGTAGGAGAAGGGAGATTGAAAAGAGCAGATCCAGGAAAGCAAACATGAGGACTCTGGACTAAATTTTTTAGGCAGTAGGTAACCACTGAAGGCTTTCAATCAGGGGAAAGATCTGAATAGAGTTTGAATGTATGGGAACCAGGTCAGTTCAGAATCATGTGGATTATGGAAGGATGTTATGATAATCCAGTGGGAAAGAAGTCAAGAGCTGAATTATGTCAGTGAGGAGGGTAGAGAGGAGTAGATGTATTTAAGAGATTTTAGAGGTAGCCTGGCTGCGAAAAGTGAGCGACAAACGTCATCTCAGACGATGTCCCAGGTTTCTCTCTTGGTTTACGTAGCTAGATGATAATACTCTCCATTGATAAAGGGAATTTACGAGCAGATTTTGAGAAAGAGGTTATGTGTTCATTTATGGGAGCTGTTGAAACTGTGGCTCTGGAGCTCTGGTAGGAAATACAACATGCAGCATGGTAGTTGAAACTGAGATTGGATGGTACGACCCAGGAAAGCAATTTGGAAGCGGTCAGTGAATGCAGAGTTAAGGGATCATTTAGTTAAGATAGGAGGTGCTTTGATACTGTGAGAGGTAGGGCAGATAAGGGAGGGTGAGAAGATGTGAGTAACAAGATCTGGAGGCTTTGGGGTCCAGAGTGCTCATGGGAAGTGAGCCTTGAAAAGGAAGAGAAGCCCGCACCCTCTTTGGGTGGAAGGCGGTAAGATACTCATACATTCATGGGGAAAGCTGGGAGGTGGAAGGCTTTTCACATCTGACGCCTGGCTTTGTGAATGGGATGTCATCTGCTCATAGGAAAGGAATGGAAGGCAGGAGAAATACTTGGGGCAGGGAGGGAATAATCGCGCAGAGAATCCAGGAGTAGGTGCTGACTGACAGCAAGCCAAAGGCTTGCAGAGGGCCGCAGAATGGCCAGCGGAACGTGGGAGCCATTTATTTTAGTGGCACCAGTCTGAGCATTGATGACACAGTGAACGTCGTACTGCTGTTTATTTTACTGTCCTTATTTTATAAATGAGGGAAAGAAATGTGTTTTGGCTTTGACAAGTTCTAGAACTTTATAAAAGAAGTATAATCTGCACTTGGTCATTGTGTCATAATAGCTGAATAAACTGCTTTTATGTTTCTGTTAAATCATTTTCTGTATGAGAAATAATGAAATTATTTTTCTTTCTAAGCTTCTAAGATATATGTGCTCTTTAAAAGCATTTGAAATGTATTCATTAGTTCTCTGGCTATTCATGATTCCTACTCCTAAAATCTCCAGTTAAGGAATCAATCAGATATCAGATGTTAAACTTGTCCAAATATATTTTAGATTGAGCAAAGAACATTTTTTGTATTTAATAGTTAATCTTCATTGAACACATTTAGTTTTGTGAAGGGGTTTTCTTTCTAATAAAACTTAGGTGATTCATTTCTTCCCCTGGCTTACTGTAACCCTAGCTAAGTCATTTAGCTGGTAAAGTCTCAGCTTCCTGAAATCAGACAGCTGACCTGGAAAATTTCTCAGGTTTTTGTTGGGTTCTAACCTTCTAACTTGTGCCGGTTTTTTGTATAATGCAGCATTGAATGTGGTGTCCGTTGGCCACCAGAGGGCACTGTATAGCCTGCCTTCTGCTGAGTGGCATAAAAAGCAAAGCTAGGACTATCTCTTTTTTTAATATTTATACTGTATTTCACCACTTTACTTTGCATTTTTAATCATTTCATTTTGAATTTTCCTACTTTTCTGCTGCCAGAGAATAGTTATATAAATTCAGTGTATACATTATCATGAAAATGGTAATTGACTTTCAATTAATTAAACTACTCTTTTTTATAATTGCATCAAGTCAGATGGTTATCATTTTTCATGATGATTCTACCAATTGATTTAATTATTTTAAAATTTTCATTTAATATAGGATAAGCATTTATTTTGTTGCTGATACTCTAAATAAATATCATTTAAAAATGAAATATATAATGTCAGTTCAACATGTAGAAATAACAGGCACTTTTTCTCTATTCATGAAAAATTTCTGTAATTAACCTATCAGGAGTCTATTATTTTTATGCTTCTTATAGCCCCTCCATTTGCCATGTTATAGACTTTTAGAATATGGGATAACGAGTTCTTAGGTAGGAGATGAACCACCATACTTTTCACTCTATTCTCGTGTCATATCATCTCTGATAAGACAAACCAATAATTCTTCAGCTTTTTAGTTCATTGTATTCTAAACGGCCTTAATAAACAGGCCTAGAGAACTGCCATTAAAAAGTACTCGTTACCGAGGAAATACCACCAGAAAGAGCATGGAAGCATATCTTCTGTTGTTTGTGTGAGGGGAACCAAGGTTGTTTAATGTTCAGATGTTATAAAGATGGGAAATTAAAACAATTAGAACTTTTTTTAAGTCATGAAGCACTGACAAAGCCACTATTCTAAAACATTCATGTTTTACCAATAGGAACAACATGCCAGAATTCCACAAATTAAAAACAAAGTTGGTAAAGAAGAAAGGAGCACGGGCATATGCCTGCCAGTGCAGCTGGAGAACTGTTGAAGAACTGACTGACCTTCAGAGCGCTCATCAGCTGCGTTGGGTGTGTGGTAGACATTAAGAATGCAGACTTTTCACATTCAGACTAATGCATCCATGAAAGCAATATCCATTAATTATCATAATATTTAGGTAATGGTACATAGCAGTATCGTGCCCTTTGTAAAAAGACAAGAAATTTCACTTAATGACTGTACCCACTTTCAAAGACCAAATGGACTTACGAAGATAATGTGCTTTATTTAACATTTTAGAAATAGTCCCCTTTTGATATATGGACGTTTCACTTTGTAAGTAAGGTAACAAGTTATCCAAATACTTCTTTGCCCGCCTGTCTCCCGTTTTAAGGCAGTTTAGTTACAGAGTTTTATACCAATTTATAGCCATTCATGAACAACTGCAGTATTACTGACTGCCAGTACACTTAGCATAAACGTCCCCTATCAGGGGATAGAGCCGGCCGGTGCAGAGGTCCCTGAGGGGTGTACACACCACCTCGTCCAGTCAGAGCTGTTGCTGCGAAAGATACTAGTCTAGGTATGGCGGAACCGTGTGAGCCGTGACTAACCGAAGGGCTTTCAGGAGTACAGGTATTCTGTGAATAAATACACTGCCTGTATCTGATCTTACCTCACCAACTTAAAGTGATACTATGTACAATAATGATAAGTATCTATTACAGATTTTAGCTTATTTCCCCTTTTGTTCATTTAGATATCAGAAGTCATTTAGTTTGTAATTTAACAAATACCCATTTATATATAAAAATTTTTTGGCTGCACCTAAAATCACAAGGGAAGATCCTAATACAGACAGGTGATTGGTTTTTTCAATACTTTGTAGCCTTTAAAGGCTAAAACTCTAATCAAGTAAAATGAACAGCAAGTAGGATATTTTCTCAGGCAGCCTGTTGATTTTTCTGGTAGAATCAGATTGACATATTGTTTATTAAATAAGTGTATGAAAAGAGAAATAAAGCTTAGCCGAACCAGCCTGTTGACTCCTCTTTGACCCTGACATCAGCGAGAGCGGGAGGACCCCGCGGCAGCAGCACATTCAGGAAACCAGTTACCTCGGAATTGCCCTCTACCTTCGAGAGATTCTGGGGGCTTCCCAGTCTGCCAAAAGCTCTTTAGTGTATGGGTCTAATAAATAGTTCAGATGTGGGACACAAGGCATGCTGAAAGGGAGTCATGGAAGGAAAGCTGTGGTCTGCCTAGGCTTATGCTGAATCCAGCCACCTAAGCAAAGGAGAAAAATCTGGTCGTTAAAATCTTTTTCCTAGCCATGTCACATTTGCACTTGGGTACGACTTACTTTAGTAAGTCTAGCATTGCAACAGAACAAATCTGCGGGCAGATACTCCCATTTGTATTAAGAATATGTTTATTGAATACGTGTATTGAAGATCTTATCTTTCAATAAAAATGTTTACTCCCTAAAATTTTATCTCACTGTAATGAATCCAGAAACAGCAAAGGATTTGGATTGAAGTCACCTATTTCATAAAAATAGCACAGCAACAAAGTCTACACATTCTGAACCCCGTGGAATTTGGCACATAGTCATAATGGTGATGTTTGCTTTTTATTCAAATGAACAAATTTACTAAATTATTAGCTTGAATATATACTTTATTATTTCATCATAATTATCCTATAACTTGGATAGAATGCCCATGTTTGGCATTTTATAACATAGTAATTGTAATAATTCCCCAATGTCAGATACGTATGTATGACTTCATATTTTTGTGGGCAATTTACTTTATAAGCTTTTTAATATTGTACAGTTTCTAATCTAAAATGTAGAAAGAATATTCTGTTTGTGTACAAAGGGATAAATTATCAGTTGTAATTTAAGCCAAAATGCAATTACTTTAGTATCATTGTAGAAGAAAAGCATAGTTTCTGATGAGCTATAATTTTAAAATGCAAAATCTGTAAAACCTATAAGATGTTTTGCCCATTCATTTTCAATGCTGTAATAATTTTCTGCCTTTCGCAAGTATCTATTTTTTGTCAAGCCAGGTAACTGCTTTATTTGAACTGTATTATATTCTCCACCGTTATCCTACCCTGAAATGAATAAATAATAAGTAGCTTTATTCTGTATTCAGTTACATTTTATTCTATAGTAAAATATTTGTATTGGGATTAATTTGAAATAATTTGGTAATTTCTTTTCTATTTATTCATTTTTTTTATTTAATAATTTCTTTGTTGTATTTTTTATTACTGTTTAGTCCCCTTATACTCCGCAATCCCCCACAGTAACCACAATGGTGTCCAAGTCCATTCGTCCTTTTTCCTTTTTTTCAATTCTTCCACCCTTAGCTGTCACCCTGCTGTCTATGAGTCTGTCTCTATTTTGCTTGTTAGTTCAGTTAGTTCATTAGAGTCCATGTATGAGTGAAGTCATATGGTACTTGTCTTTCTCTGACTGGCTTATTTCACTTAGCATAATGTTCTCTAGGTCCATTCATATAGTCACAAAGAGTAAAACTTTCTTAGATTTTACAGCTGAGTAGAGTTCCACTGTGTAAGGGTCCCATGGTGTTTTATCCACTCATTCTCTAATGGACACATGGGCTGCTTCCCTATCTTGGCGACTGTAAATAATGCTGCAATGACATAGGGGTGCTTAGGTTCTTTCAAATTAGTGCTTTGGGTTCCTTCAGATATATTTCCAGAAGCAGGATCGCTGCGTCAAAAGGCAGATCCATTTTTAATTTTTTGAGGTACCTCCACATTGCTTTCCACAGTGGTTGCACCAATTTGCATGCCCACCAACAGTGGAGGAGGGTTCCACTTTCTCCACATCCTTGCCAGCACTTGTTGTTTGTTGATTTATTGATAGCCATTCTGACAGGTGTGATATGGTATCTCATTGTTTTAATTTGCATTTTTCTGATTAGTGACGTTGAGTGTCTTCATGTGTCTGTTGACCCACTGTATGTCCTGTCTAGAGAAGTGTCTATTCAGGTTCTTTGCCCATTTTTTAATTGGGTTTTTTCTTTTTGGTGTTGAGTTTTGTAAGTTCTTTATAAATTTTGGATATTAACCCCTTATCAGACGTATCAGCAAATATGTTCTCCCATTCTGTGGGCTGTCTTTTTATTTTGTTGATGTTTTCCTTTGCCATGCAAGGACTTTTTCATTTGATGTAGTCCCATTTGTTTATTTTTTTCTTTTGTTTCTCTTCCCTGTGGATACATCTGATAAAATATTGCTGAGCTATGTCCAAAATTTTGCTGCCTGTGTTTTTTTTCTATGATTATTATGGTTTCAGGTCTAACATTTAAGTCTTTAATCTATTTTAAATTTATTCTTGTATGTGGCATAAGAAGGTGGTCTAGTTTCATTTTTCTTCTGCATGTATTTGTCCAATTTTCCCAATACCATTTACTGAATAAACTATCTTTAGCCCATTGTATTGTGCTTACTTCCTCTGCCAAAAATTAATTGACTATAAAGGTGTGGGTTTATTTCTCAGCTCTCTATTTTGCTCCATTGATCTATGTGTCTGTTTCTATGCCAGTACCATGCTGTTTTGATTACTATAGCCTTATAGTATAGTTTGATATTAGGAAGATTGATTCTTCCAACTTTGTTCTTCTCAGGATCCCTGTTGCTATGTGGGGCCTTTTGTAGTTCCATATAAATTTTTGAAATCTTTGTTCTAGTTCTGTGAAATATGTCATTGCAATCTTGATAGGAACTGTGTTGAATCGATAGATTGCTTTGGGTAGTATGGACATTTTAATAATGTTGATTCATCCTGTCCATGAACACGGCATCCTGTCCATGAACATGCTTCCACTTATTTGTATCTTCTTCATTTCCTTCAGTGTCTTATAATTCCCCAAGTAGAGGTCTTTTGCATCTTTGGTTAGGTTTATTCCTAGGTATTTTATTCTTTTTGAAGCAGTTGTGAATAGGATTGTTTTCTTCATTTCCCTCTCTGTTAGTTATTGGCATATAAAAATTCAGCTGATTTCTGAATATAAGGGATTGTGTATCCTGCTACTTTGCTGAATTCATTTATCAGTTCTAGTAGTTTCTTGGTGGAATCTTTCGGGTTCTCTATGTACAGTATCACGTCATCTGCAAATACAGTTTTACTTCTTCCTTTCCAATTTGGATGCCTTTTATTTCTTCTTGTCTGATTGCTGTGGCTAGGACTTCCGGTACTATGGTGAATAAGAGAGGCAAAAGCAGATATCCCTGTCTCGTTCCCAGTCCTAAGCAGAGTGCTTGTAATTTTTGCCCATTGAGTATGATGCTGGCAGTGGATTTATCATATATGGCCTTTATTATGTTTAGGTATATTCCTTCTATTTCCACTTTGCTGAGAATTTTTATCATAATTGGGTGCTGGATTTTATCAGATGCTTTTTCTGCATCTATTGTTATCATGTGGTTTTTATCCTTCATTTTGTTTATGTGGTGTAGTACATTTATTGATTTGCGATTGTTGTACCAACCTTGCATTCCCAGAATAAATCCCACTTGATCATGGTGTATGATCTTTTTGATGCATTGCTGTATTCAGTTTGCTAATATTTTATTGAGGATTTTAGCATCTGTGTTCATCAGGGATATTGGCCTATAATTGTCTTTCTTTGTAGTATCTTTATCTGGTTTTGGAATTAGGATAATGCTGGCCTTGTAAAATGAGTTTGGGAGCCTTCCTTCTCTTGAATTTTTTGAAATACTTTGAAGAGAGGTGTTAGTTCTTCTCAGAATGTTTGATAAAATTTACCTGTGAAGCCATCCGGTCCAGAGCTTTTGTTTTTGGGGAGTTTTTTCATTATTGCTTCCATTTCACTAGGTGAATTCTGTCTATTCAGATTCTCTATGATCCCTCCTGGTTTAGTTTTGGGAGATTGTATGGTTCTAGGAATTTATACATTTCATCCAGGTTGTCCAGTTTGTTGGCATATAGTTGTTCATAATATTTTCTCACTATCCCTTGTACTTCATTGGTATCACTTGTTCCTTCTCCTCTTTCATTTCTGATGTTATTTATTTGGGTCCTCTCTCTTTTTTTCTTGATGAGTCTGGTTAAAGGTTTGTCAACCTTGTTTATCTTTTCAAATAACCAGCTCTTGGATTCATTCATTATTGTATCACTATTTTAGACTCTTTGTTTATTTTTGCCCTAATATTTATTATTTCCTTCCTTCTATTATGGGCTTTGTTTGTTGTTCTTTTTCAAGTTCCTTTAAGTGTAAAGTTAGATTGTTTATTTGAGCTTTTTCTTGTGTTTTGAAATAGGTCTGTAATGTCATGAATTTCCCTCTTAAGACTGCTTTCCCTGACTCTCACGAATTTTAGATTGTTGTTTACTCATTTTCATTTGTTTCAAGGTATCTTTTGACTTCTTCCTTAACCTCATTTTTGACCCATTCATTGTTTAATAACATATTATTTAGCTTTCCCGTCTTTATGTGTTTTTCAGTGTTCTTGTGATTGATTTCTAGTTCCATTGCATTGTGGTCAGAAAAGATGCTTCATATGACTTCAGTCTTCTTAAATTTATTGGGACTTGTTTTGTGTCCTTACATATGGTCTCTCCTAGAAAAAGCATTCAATGTGTACTTGAAAAGTACGTATATTCTACTGCTTTGGGGTAAAATGCTCTGAAGATACCAACTAAATCCATTTGATCTAGTATATCATTTAAGGCCGCCATCTCCTTGTTGATTTTCTGTCTGGAAGATCTATCCATTGAAGTCAAAGGGCTGTTAAAGTCCCCAACTATAACTGTATTTCTGTCGAACTCTCCCTTTATGTTCATCAAGATTTGCTTTACATATTTAGGTGCTCCTTTTTTGGGTGCGTAAATGTTTACTACGGTCATGTCCTCTTAATGGATTGTTCCCTTTATCATTATGTAGTATCCTACTTTGTCTCTTACTATAGCCTTGGTTTTAAAGTCTATTTTGTTGAATATACGTATTGCTACCCCAGCCTTTTTTTTTTTTTTATTTCCATTTGCATGAAATACCTTTTTCCATTCTTTTACTTTTAGTCTGTGTGTATCTTTTGATCTGAGGTAGGTCTGTTGGAGGGAACATATATATGGGTCTTGTTTTCTTATCGTTTCAGCTACCCTATGTCTTTTGGTGGGAGCATTTAAACCATTTATATTTATGATGATTATTGATTGATACGTATTTAGTGTCATTTTATTGTTAGACTATTTTCCTCTGTTTTTTTCGTTCTTTTTTTCTACTTCTTAAAGCAAGCCCTTTAACACTTGTCGCAATACTGGTTTGGTGTTAACAAACTCCTTTAGCTTTTTCTTATCTGGGAAGCTCCTTATCTCCTTCAATTTTAAATGATAGCCTTGCTGGGTAAAGAGGCCTTGGTTGTGGGTCCTTGCTTTTTATCACCTTGAACATTTCAGTCCTCTCCCTTCTGGCCTGAAATGTTTCTGTTGAGTAATCAGATGTCAATCTGAGTTATACTCCCTTGTATGTAACTACCTGCTTTTCGCTTTTCTCTTGTGGCTCTTAAGATTCCCTCTTGTCTTTAAGCCTTCACATTTTAATTATGATGTGTCTGAGCATAGGCCTGTTTGGGTCCAACTTGTTTGGGACTTTCTGGGCTTTCTGGACTTGCATGTCTTCTTCCTTCACCAGATTAGGAAAGTTTTCACGCACTATTTCTTCAAAGAGGGTCTTGACCTCTTGGGGTCTCTCTTCTCCTTCTGGTGTTCCTATATGCAGGTGTTGTTATGTTCCATGTTGTCCAAAATGTTTCTTAAGCTCTCCTCATTTTTTTAAATTATTTTTTTCTTTTTGCTGCTCTGTCTGGGTGTTTATTTCTATCTTGTCTTCCAAATCACTGATTCAGCCCTCTGCTTTATCTAACCTACTGTTTATTCCTTCCAGTGTGTCATTTATTTCAGATACTGCATTTTTTAGTTCTGACTGGTCCTTTTTTATGGTTTTTATGTCTTTTTTCCTGCTGTTGAGTATCATTATACTGAGTACCACTACTCTAAACTCTCTATCTGAATAAATTGTTTGCCTCCATTTCATCTAGTTCTTC